AAAACTGCCCAGGGCAATGTCACCTTGTTTGTTGAACCCAGCCTGTGGCTCTCTTTCTTTGCTAATTGAAGCAGCCCCCTCCCGTCTCCACCCCCCCCCCCCCTTTTTTTCCCACACATAATAGTTTTGTAAAAAAAAAAATGAAAGAAAAAAAAAGCCTAAACCTGGACAAAAAACAAATCTAAAAAGGTTTCAGTGTGATCACTCCAAGGTTCACTGAAGCTCGATATTCTTGTAATTTGACTACAGTTAAAAACGCCCACAGGAGTTGATCTTTAGTCCTGCTCTCCTGATAAAGGTTGCTCTCTTTCTTCAGATAAAGGTTTTTTAAAAGCTGTAAATCATAATAATTATTTTCAGTCTATTCGGGGGATATTTTCTGCTGGTAGATTTATCTGAAACAATTCATCTTGAAAGGGTGACCTCTTAAAAAGCTGTATTGTGGAAGAGGGTTTTAAATCCCTTTCAACAAACAAAAATGCTATTTTAGGGGCTGGATCTGCGATTCAACGTCCAACTCCGATAGCAGCACGCCTAGTGAAGGCAGAGGCTGGATACCAACTGGACTATACGCACAATGGTATCTCCAACTAAAACAAAAATTGTAACATCAATCAATGCTCGTCTACATCGAGGTCGAGTCGAGCTACCAAGTTTAACATATTCGTCAAGGAGGCCAATCCAAGGAGAAGACACTTGAACAATATACAAGTCTGGTGACAAAATATCACAACGAATCTTTTGATCAACTCTGATGGGAACTTGTATGAGGAATCTGTTTTCGACGTCAGTTTTGCATGAACGTGTACATATAGCTGGAGAACAGATTGCCCAAAAGTAAACTGTTCGTGTTTACTTTCGATGGCACTTAGGAATTAATTTAAATTTGAGCCTTGGCAACAAGTTCTCCCGTTGAGCAAAAGTACTTGTACATGGAGTCGTTGGAACCATTGTAATCTCAGCCGTTCATTGATCTGCAAGCCATTTATATCTTAAAGTGTTGATGGAAATCCTAGACTAAAACGTGAAGGACCGTATTGGTAAATAAAGAAAGCTGAATTTGTGTATTGATTTTTTTTGTTTTCGATATGGCATACTTTATGAAGAGCATTGTATCTGTACTGCCGAGCATTTTGGCTAGAAATCTTTTTTAACTTTTAGATTTTAAAAAGTAGTGAGCAAAATGTACTGCTTTCTGACGCAGAAATATTGAATTAGGGTATTCTGTCAAAAACTATGATGAGTAGCAAAAATCTGTTTTGTCAGGAGATAAAATTTTATTGCCGGATTGTAAGAAAAATTTGAACTTTCTCAGGCAAAACCATTTGTTCTAGACTGGGTTTTTTTATTTGTATAAAAATAGGCATATTGTGAACTTTGAATTTCTTACAGAACCGAACATTGATCTGGAACTTGACAGAAATAAATCCAATAATCACTGTTTCAATGGGAACACCAAACGAATTTGAAAAACAATTCATAAAAACTGCTGAAACTGAAAATTGGCATTGAGCATAGCTTCCTCGAGCTTAGTGGTATCTGGCACTAGTCCCATTTTCAGGAATTGATGTTAATCACTTTGAAAGCATTAAATTCGAGTTGCAAAAACGGGACGGGAGTTAGTTCAAAATCAAACTGAAATTCTATTGAGTGCGGGTAATAACCGTGATAAATTTGGGATCAAAGGGAAGATTTTTTCAACAGTCTTGACAGCTGTAAAACTGGTGTTAGTGCAAGATAGCACCCAGCTCGCACATGTTGGCTCTCGTAGTCTAGAGGTACAGTGTTCGTCTTTCATTCACTTGGCCCCGGGTTCGAGACCTGACAGCAACGGAAAATGTTACTTATCTAGCAGTTTCTTCTTTCACCTCCTTTCTTGTTCTATAAACATGTACTGTCATTTGTTTTCATCTCCACTTTCTTCCCAAACCCCTGCCCACCCCGGCCTCCTCTGTCCTTTACTCCTGACCATTTCTACATGTACTGCTACTCCTGGTTCCTTCCTACTGCTGTCTATCAGCCACGCACCTGATCGTAAGTTAGGTAAGATCGAACACCTAGCCTTCTCGGATAAGGGCAAAAAAATGTCAGAGGTTCTGTGTGCAAGTTGTGCACATTTATAACCCATTGTTGGCTTTTAAATCGTTAACAGTCGGCTTTAGTCGCAATCAGGGCAAACATTCAAAATTAATTTCTGCCCCAAACTGAAAATACTCTAGTCCGTATAAAAACAAACAGAATACCTTCGCAATCGAAACGTAGCTTTCTGGGGACAAGGAGCCCTACTAAGTAGGGCAATGGTCGCATAAGTAAAAATCAGTATCACTGTAGGTTGAAGAACCGGCAGTCGACTACCCCTGACACTAGCCGTGGAACGCAAGAAAAAAAATCTCGCTCATACCTGTGAGTATTTTAGACCCAGGACGCACATAGCATTATAGCTTCTACTCTTGCATCCCACTCTAGCTTTAAATGGAAGGCTCTGCACCCTGATTAGAAGAAACTGAGCTGCCTTCGCCATAAGGAAAGCAGGAAAAGATCACATGCTGCCGGGATGTTGTGATAATAGAAAAAGTACTTAAATAATATCCACATTCTAGACCCCATGTCTGCGCTTCTATGAACTATTACACCATAATATTGTAACTCGTTTGGTCATTGTTCTAGCCGCGCGTAATACTATTCTTACATCATTGTAGTTCTGTATTTCTTGCAACTCAGACCCAATTCCCAAATGTGAAAACACAGATGACCACGGCTGACCAGATGGGTTTTTTTTCATTGTGAAGCTGGCTTCATAATAACTGTTCCTTAACGTCCGTGAGAACAGTGGGTATCCAGAGGTGTTTTAGAATTATTCAAGCGAGATGCATCCTGTCTCTTTTGATAAGATACTGCTCGAGGCAAAATACATGGAGTCAAAAATAACTACTATTTCATGCTATGAATTGTGAAATATAATTGTAGTTTGATTATATCACATCCAGGAACTGATAATCTTGAGCGCTCTATTAAAAGTGCTATGATTTTAAAGAGTTTTAAAAATCACTGCATTTAAGGGGAAGGGGGGTTGGGGGGGGGGGTAATCTCATCGTGAGGCAGACAGTGAAACTAGCATCGCATCGATGTAGAGCAGTTGGTTAACAAATCTGGGGTACCCACGAAGTCTGCGTATATCATATAGTGTGGGTCCCAACTTTAAAAATCCATGAAAGTCTCCCTCTGTATTGGGCATCATAAAAATGGACCAGGCCCGTCGTCTTCGCAACGACCTTAAAGGCGACTAATGAGGCTTTCCCGTAAACAAAACAAATAAAAAAGAGAGCTCCTTAAAGACAAATATTACAGTGGATGGCTAAGTAAGCTGCTCGAGACTTTCGGGTGTGGGCCGGGTACACCAGGGACCATCGATTTTGATATCTTGGCACGCCCAGCGATTGTTCTTATTGAATCATGTCGCTTGTTATGTAGAAGGTATTCGTCACGAAGTCTACCCGGCTTTCGATAATGGCATGGGAGACAATTATACCCATCCAGCAAATTCAAAACCAAACAAGACTGTCTTTGCGGTGAGGGAAAAGAAAAAAGAAGGGCGCGGCGTGCGCGCAGAGAGAAAGAGAGAGAGAGAGAGA